TAGGTTGGGGTCACCGCCCTCAATAGTTTTCGTGCCCCGGCGCGGGATTCCCTCTCAGTTGCATTATTTAAGGATGGAGGTGCCGTTCTCTGCAGGGCATTGACCTCCCTATTCCAGCGTATGTGAAAGGAAGAGAGGGTAATATAGAGGAAGGCCAGTAGCACAGACTGTGCGAACCACAGGGGTGTTAGCGTAACGGCAGTTGCGCTTACATTGCTGTCCCCGCTTACCGTTGGCCGCGTCACTGCCGAACGGGAATGCCTCTTTATGAAAGAGCAGATGCGCTTCCGGCCAGCATCATCATGATCAACAGCAGTACATCAGCCATTTGAACTGATGCTTCGCTGCCAGAAATCCATGAGGACAAATGAAATAAAGAATAAAAAGAGGGAGAGAAGGGGGACTTACCTGAAAACCTTAACGCCCTAAGCAAACATTCAGGGTCAAGGCGCCTACACCTTGTGTAGACAATATACCCTCACAAACAGCTGGCTATCGTGCTAAGATAAGGCAGAATTGGTGAGACAGCTTCCTTGCGGCTTTCATTGCCACGCGTCATAACCAGCTACTACCCCGCAGATAACCTGCCACCAAACACACTTTAAACAGGCAATCCGATTAGGAGACGGCAGCAGACGCGTCACTGGTGTCTACTGCGAGCCATGGCCTGTAACGTCTAGAGCGAAGGACAAGGCGAGTCACCTAGACTCCATGCCGGAAAGCGTGACGGACCATTGGCACCGAGTTTGGCCGTCAGTGACTTCATTTCCTGCTGTCCATTCGACTTCTGTCCACCTTTTGCCTTGGGCCACCCTACACCAGGTAGACTGAACAAGGCCGTCCCAGGTAAGCGGTGACGAGGCATACGTAGGACGTGCCCGAGCCAACGCAACTTATTCAGTGCTATCTGTTGCTCTAGGGAGCTAGCATGATTATCACCTCCTAGTACTCGTCTACGCACATCACCGTTGCGGACACGCTAGTGCCCACCGGACTCCAGCGATGATCAGAGTTCACGCAGGTATTGCAGTACAAGCGGCAATCCAGGATGGAACCACGCCATCTGTAACTTATGGCTACGTGGTCAATGTGGGTCCATCGCTGGCCAGCTACAGCTAGCGTATCGACCTGCCCGGAAACCGTTAACGACGTAGGATCATCCGGTAGCTTGCAAGATCGCTGGTTGACGAAGTATATGTTTTTTCACATTCCTTAAGGACAACAGGTCATGGAATAAAATCCATCAGCGCTGCTTTTAGCCCAAGTAACACACCAGCTACGTCTTCCGCTATGCCGCCGTGCTGTGTAGCATCCTCCGCAGACACCTGCAGTATCATGCCGCCGCCCGAAAACCATCAAGTGTGTATGTCTCACTCACTCATGCTTCCACAGAAATTGCAATGTTGCCCACTTTCAGCGCATGCAGTATCCTTACCCACTGTTCGCAGTCACAATGAAGCTGCCGATGTGCAATGGCAAGTGCATTAAATGTATATCCTCTGCTTTAAGCCCAAGTAACAAACCAGCAACGTCCTCCGCCAAGCCGCCGTCCTGTGTACCTTCCTCTGCTCACTTCGCCACTTGCGGAAACTAGCACCAGCATGATCACACGTTAGTGCGCTTTTTGAATTTACCTTATACCTCTAAAGAAATTATAACCATGCCCTTTCCAGGCTTGCAGCAGCCTTACTCAGCGTCCCCATTGCGCTTGCATTTCCGAAAACTAACGCGTCCCCATCATCTAACTATGCGTGAACGACCCAAAGACCCTGTTCAGCGCCACCCACTGTCCTATAGCCATGTGTTCCCCCTCTGTAAGCATCACATAAACACCGGACGCCTTGCAGCGGTTGGAGCACTGGCATGTAGGTGCAGTGGGTGGGCCCATAATCGTCCGCTGATTAAAGTACTGCTCAGTACTCTTCGGATACCGTGTGAAACTCACTGATTCACATTTCACTTTATTTTAAGACAACGCACCAGCTGCAATGGCACCTTTTGTCCTGTCGTGTCCCATGCGTGGTGTCACCAAGCACGGAGCGGCAGGCGCATCACCGGCCCGTCGCATGACCTAGTCTCATCTTCGGATTGTGCATCGTCGTGGCGGAGCATGAGCGTTCATGTTGAGACCCGAAAGATGGTGAACTATGCTTGCGCAGGTTGAAGCCAGAGGAAAATCTGGTGGAGGACCGCAGCGATTCTGACGTGCAAATCGATCGTCAAACGTGAGTATAGGGGGAAAGACTAATCGAACCATCTGGTAGCTGGTTCCCTCCGAAGTTTCCCTCAGGATAGCTGGCATTCTGAGAAACAAACAGTTTTATCCGGTAAAGCGAATGATTAGAGGCCTTGGGGACGAAACGTCCTCAAACCATTCTCAAAATTTAAATAGGTGAGAAGCTTAACTCGCTTGAGTGGAGTTATGCGTTGAATGTGAATGCCAAGTGGGCCATTTTTGGTAAGCAGAACTGGCGCTGTGGGATGAACCAAACGTGCTGTTCAGGTGCCTAATGCAACGCTCATGAGATACCACGAAAGGTGTTGGTTGGTCCAGACAGCAGGACGGTGGCCATGGAAGTCGGAATCCGCTAAGGAGTGTGTAACAACTCACCTGCCGAATCAACCAGCCCTGAAATGGATGGCGCTGGAGCGTTGAACCTATACCGTACCGTCACTGCAAGCTGAGTCGATGGCGTGTGGCGTGGGTTGATACCCAAGACTCAGGCAAGGAATGGTGGTGACGAGTAGGAGGGTCACCGTGGTGAGCGGGAAGCTCCGGGTGTGAGTCTGAGTGGAGCCGCCACGGGTGGAGAAGGTTCCATGGGAACAGCAGTTGAGCATTTGCCATGTGGTCCTAAGTGATCCGGTAACTCGGTACAGAGACCGGGTGCCTGACATGTTCAGGATTGCTGCGATTGTACTGTTACAAGCAGCCCCCTGTAGCGAAAGAGAATCGGGTTAATATTCCCGACCCTGCCCACGGAGATTGATGTGTTCTGGCCTTGTGTTGGTTCACATCGAGCGCGGTGACGCAAACGACCTCGGAGACGTCGGGAAGAGTTCTCTTCTCTTTATTAGGAGTGCATCATATTCTGGAATCGGGTTGTCCGGAGATAGGGGACTAGCCTCCGTAAAGCACCACCCATCTTCTGGTGTCCGGAACGCTGTTGTCGGCCCTTGAAAATCCGAGCGAGGCATTATAATTTTCGTGGCAGGCCGTACCCATATCCGCATCAGGTCTCTAAGGTGAACAGCCTCTGGCAATTGAACAATGTAGGTAAGGGAAGTCGGCAAATTGGATCCCTAAATTCGGGCTCTGAGAGCCGAGCTAATTGTCGTGATTTGTCAGGTTACAGGCGGCCGCCTTCGCCGCAGGTCGTTCATTGACGCTGACCTGCGGCTGTAGTGGGGTGGAGAAAGGAAGTACGGTGGGATTTGTGGGTCCGTGTGGACCGGTTCAGGTAAGTAACCAGCTACTGATCAATCAACTCCCCGGTTTTCCCTCTCCAAGAGAATTCCAGACCGAGGTACTGGACAACCGTATCCACTTCCACCAACGGTAAAGACTCCTCTTCTAGACGGTATACAGTTGGTGCCAAGGCAGTGTTACCCACCTTTCGATTAGCCAGAATCGTCATCGACATTGATTTCTTGATGGTTACCAACATACCAGCTCGAGTCAGAGCGGCCTCGGCGGCAGTCAGTTTTGCAGATAAGCTACTACTGTCCTCTGCAAAAAGAACAAGATCATCGGCATAAGCAACGGCGTCAAGCACTGTTGATCCCAATGGAAAACCAATAGACGGGTCTGCCGCCAGCAGTACTTCCTCCATGGCCATGATGAAGAGAATTGGGGACAGTGGATCTCCTTGACGTACGCCGCGTCGGCTGTGAATAGAACAATTATACAGCGTGGCTTCACCACACATGTATATGTTTCGGATATATGTCATCAATAGCGGTGGAGCTCCAAAGTACCGTGCACTACGGAGGATCGTATCGAACGACAGGCAGTCAAACGCCTTGGAAACGTCAAGAAAGGCTGCCGCGAGACTCCTACTCTTACCCTCGCTTGCGCGCAGCGCCTCGTGTAGTGCTGAAGTGGCCTCCAGGCACTCATGCCTCTACAAAAATACAACCTGAAGGGAATTGAGCACCAGCTTCTGAGTCCACCTTTTAACAAGTACCTTATGTAGACACCGTATTGTGACTGAGGCTACCGCAATCGGGCGGTAGTCTGATGATTTCTCTGGTTTGTCAACTTTAGGAAGAAGACATATTCGAGCTTTCAACGGGTGCGATGGGGTTTTAAATCTGCGCTGTGAGCTTGCACGTCTTCTCTGCATGTTGCAGATAATGTAAGACGTAGACTGTCTCTCCTCCCGTGTGCTTAACACACGCTGATAAACGAACCTGTTTGTGAAGGGTAATACGGTTGGTGTTAGTTCAGCACCGGGATCTGGAGGATCTCTTTTCAACCGTCCTCATGCTGTTGTGTCTGCAGCCTTGATTATATCATATGGGGTAGAGGAGGCATCGTCAATTTCGGTATATTCCGTCGACTGGGTCCCTTGCCTCGCCTGCTAATAACACCCGGGGGATACGCCGTATCAATGGGAGTAACTATGACTCTCTAACATCTTCCGTCCCTGGTGCCTATAGCTTTGCTGTAAGCTTCGGCTGTTGGTATATTCGACCGGCTTAAATTGTTTTCTCTTGAGTATCACCGCCTTGGCGGGAAGGTGTGGGAGGAATAGTTACGGAACTTCAGTGCCTCCTCGCAGCGCCGCCGGTAATGTGGATCTGTGTTGCGTTGCTTCGAAGCTTTGATGCTCGTCTGCAGCTAAATCTGTAGTTCAAACCGGGCCAAGTGCGTCTGTCCTTCGGGAACACCGTACGTAATCCATCTCACCTCAATCAATTCTAATCATACACATATATATACATATATACATATACATATATATATATATGTATATTTACCCCCTGTCCTCTGACAGTGGAAAGGCTGAAGAGCGGAATGGCGCACCAGGTTTGCAAGAACGCCTGGGAGGACAGCTTGCATCCGAAGAGGTCGGACTATCCAGCGAACAGCGTCCGCAATTGTCTCAATCGACGCGACTGGTTTCGCTTAGTGTACAAGGTACACAGCCCACTGTATCCAATACAGTTTTGGCCCCTGAAAATGATGGATTTGCCGCCGTCAGTAATGACATACACGCAGCTGTAGACACTACAGCATGTGGATGGTTGAAAAGAGATCCTCAAGATCCGGGTGCTTGCCTCGCATCTACCGTATTACCCATTGATATGACGTATCCCACGCGTGTTATTAGCACGCGGGACGAGGGACCCAGTCCCCGTCGTATGTCAACGGTATATACCGAAATTGACGATGACCGTTCTGCCTGATATGATGTACTCAAAGCTATAGACACTACAGCATGGGGACCGTTGAAAGGAGCTCCTCCGGATCCGGGTGCTGCCCTAACACCTACTGTATTATCCATCACAAATATGTTCGTTTATCAGCGTATGTTCCGCACACGGGAGGAGAGACCCAGTCTCCGTCTTACATCATTTGTAACATGCAACCAAGACGTGCAAGATCCTGGCGCAGTTTTACGACGTCGGTGGTGGGAACATCTGCACGACCTATGTGTGAGTTGCACACACAATGTCGGTGATCCGAAAAGCATGTCAAACGGAATTGACGGCGTCGGGCACGCAGTCAATGCCCGACCGACGGAGGCTTCCGAGGCAAAAGCTCCAATTGAAACTGACAGTATCGCGAGCTCACTGGCAAGGCGGTGTTCATCTACTAACGTTGGCACGTTGGACCGGGCCGCTTCAGTGAGTGAGCAGTTTCTTGAAACACAAGAACAAGACTCGGTACACGGGTTCCTGTTAACGGGATGCCGTGCGATGTTTTCGGACAGATGGTATTGCAATCGAGCCTCATGGAAGACAGAGGTGTTTGTCATGGACTTGGTGAGGATATGTGCCCAAGTGATTACTCTACGGTGCTTGATGCCGAAGTAGATGTGGTTCATGCATCTACGGAGGCGGACGTTTCCGGCCCACTAGTTTTGAGAGACCGAGGGAAATTGTATCCAATGCGAGTTCTGCGGACGCGATTTCCAATCCCGTATATCTCTTGAGCAACATCGTAGGCATAAACATCCTCGAGAGCACAATGAAAGGAAGCTCCAGCTAATGATGCGGTTTCCTAGGTATTGGTCGGGCAACGAGGACCGAGTTCTCGCTGAGAGTGTCAGTGACCACAGGCTTTCGGCTTTAAGTCTGCGTGAGCTGCCTAAAACTCTCACCTGGCATCTACCTAATAGGACCGTAGAGGCTATCTTCCTACGCTTAAAGAGGCACGCGTATCGTGGGGGACAGGGTTCAGTCGAAGTAATACACGATGTGACCCCATTGGAGCGCGACGTCGACCTGGATAGGACGCCAAGTCCATTGACGAGCATTGACATGGACTCTGAACTAGTCCCAGTTCGATCTGCGCTTCCAATATTACAAGCAGCCGCCGATCTCTTGTCGACAGAGACAGGATCGGACCAACTGGGGAGGCAGAAATTGCTGGACGCGGTGCGGGATGAGGAGGGCAGCTTTGTGTGCAGTGAGACTTTTGCTCGCAGGCGGAAGGATGCGGCAGGCAGGTGTTAGTGGGTACGTGGTCGTCGTCTACCGAGGCGGCTGGTCCCTGTCAAGCTGAGCTGTTGGCCTATTGGAAGGATGTGCTGGAGGCTCCCAGTACGCCGGACGATAGGCCGCCTAGGAAGTGCTCGGACATGGATTGGAGCTTAGTAGCACCTTTTATCTCTGAGAAGGGTAAGGATGCCGTTCGCCGAATGCATACTGACTCGGCTGCCGGCCTTGATGGGCTAACACCCAAGAGCCTACGCAAGATACCAACGTCGTTTCTGGAGGGATATCTGAACTTGATTCTATATACAGGTTGACCACCACCGCACCTGCTGAAAGCTCGAATATGTCTTCTTCCTAAAGTTGACAAAACAGAGAAATCATCAGACTACCGCCAGATTGCGGTAGCCTCAGTCACAATACGGTGTCTACTTGTTAAAAGGTGGTCTCAGAAACTGGTGCTCAATTCCCTTCAGGTTGTATTTTTGTCGAGAGATGTGTGTCTGGAGGCCACTTCAGCACTACACGAGGCGCTGCGCGCAAGCGAGGGTAAGAGTAGGAGTCTCGCGGCAGCCTTTCTTGACGTTTCCAAGGCGTTTGACTGCCTGTCGTTCGATACGATCCTCCGTAGTGCACGGTACTTTGGAGCTCCACCGCTATTGATGACATATATCCGAAACATATACATGTGTGGTGAAGCCACGCTGTATAATTGTTCTATTCACAGCCGACGCGGCGTACGTCAAGGAGATCCACTGTCCCCAATTCTCTTCATCATGGCCATGGAGGAAGTACTGCTGGCGGCAGACCCGTCTATTGGTTTTCCATTGGGATCAACAGTGCTTGACGCCGTTGCTTATGCCGATGATCTTGTTCTTTTTGCAGAGGACAGTAGTAGCTTATCTGCAAAACTGACTGCCGCCGAGGCCGCTCTGACTCGAGCTGGTATGTTGGTAACCATCAAGAAATCAATGTCGATGACGATTCTGGCTAATCGAAAGGTGGGTAACACTGCCTTGGCACCAACTGTATACCGTCTAGAGGAGGAGTCTTTACCGTTGGTGGAAGTGGATACGGTTGTCCAGTACCTCGGTCTGGACCGGATCACACGGGCGCCGTTGAAGCCAAGTCAGCGAATGGAGATCCTTTTGGTATTTTTAGTACCAAAGTTCCTACACCAGTTGGTTCTTCAAGCCGTAAAACGACGAGTTCTTCGTCGTCTCGATGTCCAGATTTGAGACTCTGTCAGACGGTGGCTTAAGCTACCCAAGGATGCGGTTAATGGGTTTCTACATACACCCTCGCAAGCGGGGGGACTCGGTATTCCATGTGTTTCTGTGTTGATACTTTTGTTGCAGAGGGAACGGTTCGCCAAGTTGCTTGGTTCACCGCATGCTACTGTTAAAGTGGTGGCAATGCAGCGGGGCCACGCGCGCATACTCCATGCGGTTAACCAGCCCGTCAGAGTAGGTGGAATTGTGGTGTGCACAAAGGAGGAGGCCGCAGCGGCTTGGAGAGCATTGTGGTTGTCGAGTTCAGACGGGAGGGATTTGGCTACTGAACCTATGGGCGTGGAGTCCACCCCATGGGTATCCCATCCTGCTAAGATATTCTCTCGATTGTACATCCGTTCCATCCATTTGCGTGCAGTGTGTTTGTTCACCAATGTCAGGAGTGGCCGGGGAGCCCGCTTGATTGACGTTAATTGTTCGGGGCGTGTGGGGAGCCCGAGTTTATAAACCATATCCTGTGACATATCTGTGCCTTTTATACCGCTTACTATTCTGATTGACTTTCACTGCTCAGCCACAACTCGAGTTTCAGACTCGTATGCGCTATGAACTAAGAAACAGCGAACGCACAGTGGAAATACCAAAGTCTCGCACAATGCTCCGCTCAAAATTTTTCTCTGTAAAATACGCGTTAATATGGAACAAACTTCCATCGAGTGTTAGAAACTGCACTACCTATGCACAATTCAGACGCCTGATTAATATTCACCTGACTGTTGCAAACATTCTGGTCAACACTAAGCCAAACGGTGACTTTAGATGATTTGTATGAGAAAGGTCCTGGATACGTATGAAAGTCACCATATCCTCTTTTCGTTTCAATAATATAAGATTACCTACATATAATTGCATTCTTGAGTATATATTTGAGAACGATCTTACTCCTATTAATCCGTTTTACCAATTCTGTTTTCTCCTTCGACGCACTGGTTCGTTGATGCACTACGCCTTCCAAGCTGATGTCTCTGTACCATCGTCGTCACTCGCCAAGATTTTCCATCAAATTGTGACTGGCCTATTGACTGCTAATCATTTCAAAACCCTTATGGGAACCTTTGATCAAAAGACGAACAATTAACTACATAATGCGATCACGTTGTACATGTTGATAAGACCACCAATTGGTCTTTGCCTCGCACTGCTGAGAAATAAAACGTTTACTTATTTATTATTTATTTATTTATTTGTAGAAGTGTGCTAAGACGCACAAAGCTAGGATCTTGCACCACAACAAGGTGGCTAGGAAACTGGCTGAGCTATTCCGAAAGTTCGCAGTTGAGGTACATGAGGAACCGCATATTCCACTAGTACGTAGCTTTTGCAAACCCGATCTTATCATCGTTATCGGGCGAGTGGCTTATGTGGTTGATGTGACAATCGTGGCGGGTTACAGGTTGCGTGAGAGTTGGGATCTCAAAATTGCTAAGTACGGGGTGCCGGAAATCAACATTGCCATGGTCGACCGGCTCCGGGCCCGAGAAACCGACTTTCTGCAACTGATACACCTGCCCCTCATTATCTCCAACCGTGGACATATTTACTCAGAATTATCCTATGGTCTCCGCACCTTGGGTATTTCCTCGAGTTGCCTCCGTATGCTAGGCTTGATAGCGTTGCACGGGTCGTTGACCTGTTACGACGTCTACTTCAAGGCTATTTCTTAGCTCGACACATGTCCCCAGGGTCCGAACATTTATCAATGAAGGCACATAATGCACGCTTGTGCGCGCCCGATGCTGTGCCTGATAGCGAATTCCGTTGACTTGAATCTGTGTGAGAGGTCGGGGGTGGCTTGTACACCCTCGAGTTTGCTCTATGTCGGCTCCCATACGTTGGTACGGTGGGTGATCGGCATTTTGCACTCAACGGGAGAGGCTCTTAAATTCGGCTGTTCAAAAGACAGTGGGCCTCGAAAGGTACTGCTCCTTGCGACGAGTACTCGAAGGTTGGGGACACCTTCCCCAACACCAGTCCTGGGCTCGGTAGGCACCGCTACTGGCGGCGCAGATGGCGCTCGTGAAGTCCGGTTCTTGGGGGCGTGAAGTGTGTTCGTGGTGCGGCACACCGCTCCAAACCCCGGCTCGTCTTGGCCAAGTCAACAAGAGTCCTGGGAAGGGTTCGCTCTTTATTCATTAGGAGCACATATCCCCTGGCGATGCGAGCCATCAATGGGGGACGCTCCAGGAAGCACCGATTATCATAAGTGTCCGGGACTACTTGTGGACCACTACAGCCAAGGAATAAATGTGTCAACTTGCCGTTCTACAATCGTCATTGAACGCGTGAACCGATCAACGGAAGCGAGTAAAGTCTGGTAGCGCACTCATGCGAGCGATAACCCGGCCGGGGTGCCTTTCTCAGCTTGGAATCGTTGCCCGTCAATCGCATGCAGTATGCCATCTGGTAGATGGGGACATGCGCTTTCATCGTATTCTACGGCAGTGCACGATGGAGCTGGTGGTGAGTGGTACAAAGCTTTGCCATGGGTGTAGAAGTCGGGCTGCTGGGACGGTTAGTACGAGGAGCCAGGCCGCGAGGCTGTGTTTCTCCTCCGGTGTCTTGGGCATCAACGTGAAGAAGCCCGTAAGACATCGGGTAATGGGGTGAGACTAGCTGGTCTTGTGGCCCACCGTTTTCATGCAATGGATCAGATGACGTTTGTCTGCTCAGATGGTGGTGAGCGCGGGCACATCGGTGCAAGCGATCCAAGGGATTAACCGTATCCAAGACGGGCCAGTGTGTCCGGCCGTCTGAAAAGTGACTGTCAAAACCTAAGGGTAGCCAAATGCCTCGTCAGCTAATTAGTGACGCGCATGAATGGATTAACGAAATTCCCCCTGTCGCTATCTACTATCTAGCGAAACCACAGCCAAGGGAACGGGCTTAACAGAATTAGCGGGGAAAGAAGACCCTGTTGAGCTTGACTCTAGTCCGACTTTGTGAGGATAAATGACGGGTGTAGAATAAGTGGGAGCGAGATCTTTCGGGGCTGAGCGTCAATGAAATACCACCACCGTCATTGTTTCTTTGCTTATTCAGTAAAACGGGGAATGAATTTTGGTGCTAAGCACATGCTGACGTCCGTGACTTACGTTGCGGGGGTTGGTGTCTTGGTCATGTCAGATGAGCTATGGCTATCGCCTTGGTGTTTGAGTCTGATGGTGATGTGCGCCCTGTTCTGAAGACAATGTCAGGTGGGGAGTTGGACTAGGGTAGTACATCTGTCAAATGGTAACGTAGGTGTCCCAAGTTGAGCTCAGCCAGGACGGAAACCTGGCGTGGACTAAAAGGGCAAAAGCTTACTTGATTTTGATTTTCAAGTGAGAACCTTGAAGGCCGAGGTGGAGAATTGTTCCATGGGAACAGCAGTTGAGCATTTGCCATGTGGTCCTAAGTGATCCGGTAACTCGGTACAGAGACCGGGTGCTTGACATGTTCAGGATTGCTGCGATTGTACTGTTACAAGCAGCCCCCTGTAGCGAAAGGGAATCGGGTTAATATTCCCGACCCTGCCCACGGAGATTGATGTGTTCTGGCCTTGTGTTGGTTCGCATCGAGCGCGGTGACGCAAACGACCTCGGAGACGTCGGCAAGAGTTCTCTTTTCTTTATTAGGAGTCGGGTTGTCCGGAGATAGGGGACTAGCCTCCGTAAAGCACCACCCATCTTCTGGTGTCCGGAACGCTGTTGTCGGCCCTTGAAAATCCGAGCGAGGCATTATAATTTTCGTGGCAGGCCGTACCCATATCCGCGTCAGGTCTCTAAGGTGAACAGCCTCTGGCAATTGAACAATGTAGGTAAGGGAAGTCGGCAAATTGGATCCGTAACTTCGGGAAAAGGATTGACTCTGAGGGCCGAACCAAATGGGCTGGAGTCAGAAACGTTTCGGTCAAATTGGGGGCTGGTTTTTGTGTTTGTCCTGATTGCTTCGACCAGCCGGGACTTATGGAATCACTGGACTCTGACCAGCCGATCGTGGGCGACTACAGCTAACGTGTTGCCTGGTTAGCAGCGTGTGCGGGAAACCGTGTGCGTGACGCGTCCTTGCTTCCTTCGTTTGGCGTTGAACGGCAAGCTCAGGACTGGCACGGACTTGGGGCATCCGACTGTCTAATTAAAACAAAGCATTGCGATGTTTACTGATCGGTTATGACGCAAGGTGGTTTCTGCCCAGTGCTCTGAATGTCAAAGTGTATGAATCCAGTCAAGCGCGGGTCAACGGCGGACGTATATTTGTGTCACTCCGGTATATTTTGGAATTTCTCTGTGCAGTTTTCATCCAGTTTGGACATCTGCATACCATTTGATTGCATTTTGTGCAGCGGACGGGAATCTGGAATAATATTTCAACGTTTGTTAACGGCACGTCCAGGGGGTGCTATTTATTAATATACTACTCAACTATGACTTTTGAGTACGACTGGAGTGCGTTAACCTGGAGCTCGGGCCTTTTTGTTCTTGGTCTTCGTACTGTTCTTATTCAGTTTTGTTAGCCCTTTCTAATGGTATGCTTGGTTTCTTTGTGTGGGCAGTGGGTGCGAACATATTTATAAGTTTAGCTATTTCTAGTCTCTCTAGTATATGTCGAAAACCGTAGCGATTTTCCCATCCATTGCTCTGAACGATATTGTAGATAGCGCAATTACGATTGGTAAGACTACCAGTGCTCTTCATTCTGACTGACAGTTTTAGAGGCAGGTGTGAAAATACCGGTGACCTAGTTATTGACAAAGGGCGTACCTGCAGTATATATTAGGGTATTAAATTCCCCATCTTTTAGTCTTTCATACTTTTTTCGTCCTAACCACCGGTAAAGAGTTATTTCGGTTTTAATATTTTTGGGGGTAATGATACACCGAAATGGTTTACTTTCGGATTTTCTCGGGCGGGTGCTAGATTTTTTATTCCCAACGGGGGAATTTCCTTGACCGAAAAGTTGTTTAAGCGGATGTTTCTGATTTAGAATATGTGTAGATATCCATATATTTTCTTATAGTTTCTCGGCAAGCTTTACTCAAAGTTTGTCGACATTGAGAGGGACCAGGACTCTCACATCTGGCGGGAACGGGTTTGCGGGCCAAGATCAACCGGCACAGCCGGGAGTATAATGGTAGCGTAAGATACTGATATGTAGTGAAATAATTTGTAAACATTATAAACAAACAAGTAGCGGATGTATAAAGGAATCGGGGTCCTGTAGCTTTTATAGTACTATAGATTTCCGTAACCTTGGTACCAGCTGCCCGAAGTTTCAAATTTCATAAATGGGTCTAAACTGGACCTAGGTTATTGGATAAGTAAATAGTGTACTCAGCTAGTCAGGAAATGCAGAATAGCCACTTTAAGGTAGTATCTAAATAGTGATATACTTAAATTGAAGTGGAAATGAATATTTTGCTTACCTCACGTGCTCCTATGTGATTTCTTTTTTGGAGAAACGTCTGGGCA